CAACCAGTGAAGGTAAGATCTGGACATGATCCAACCGGTCAAGGCAAGATCTGGACATGATCCAACCAGTGAAGGCAAGATTTTTTTTTGTAAAGAAAATGCATTTACGCACGCCCCGGTGGGAAACTCCGGGGTAGTGTAGGACTCTTCAGGGTGGGACTACCTACTAAAAACCTCACACCTGCACCTACGTCACCATAGATCGCGCCCTGATCGCCTTCTAGAGCATTGCTCTGGGCGCCATCAGTGAGGCCCCTAGCGGCCCTTCCTTACTCCCTACTTCTCGTCGCAATCTGAATATGATGATCGGACTCACCCCCCCAGAGGCTGTCCACCCCTCGGGGACGTATCCCGATTCTTCAGACCACGCCTTGTTCATATTGATCCTCCGTCATTCATTGTGCTTGTACTCCTTTACTTCTTCTTCTTAGCTTATTCTACTTCCTGATTTTCTACGCTACTATCTATGTTGCTCTCTTTCCTTATTCCTTTCTGCCACCTCTTTTCTTGTCAGCACTTCTCTCGCAAAGACTGCTACTGCTTTCCAGATAACTTCTTCATCCAGCATTCTGGGAAGTAAATCTTTTATTGTCAATGATATACCATTTATTACTGCTTTAAGTGTGTTCCTTGGTTCATCCCACTCTCGGCATTCACTCAGGGTATGATCCGGTGTGTCTACATCCTCCCTGCAATATGGACACATCGGTGATTCGGCTTTCTTAATCCAATTTAGAAATATCCCAAAAGACCCGTGCCCGCTGAAGAGTTGGGTTAAATGGTAGTTCAACATCCCGTGCTTTCTTTCTAACCACTTATCAAACACAGGGAGTATGCTTTCTTTAACTCTCCGTCCTTTCTGTGTGTCACTCGTTAGTAGGGCAAGCCGTTGGCGTTTCATGATTATTGTCGCAGCATCCCACACTTCTTGTCTACTTTCGGGGGCATCCTCTCCCCATTCTTTCAACATCTGCATGCGTTCGTAAACCCTTCTCATTCTTGCTGCTTGCAATTGTACCGGCGGAATTCTCGCAAGGAGCATCGATGCATCATATGACATCGTCCTATATCCACTGACTACCCTTAGGGCCATGCCTCTTTGAACCTTCAGAAGAGGAGCTCTATAAGTTGAACGTATTTCTATTTGCTCACTCCAAATCGGTGCCGCGTACAGTATTACTGAGTGTAGCATATTTATGTATACCCTCCTTTTAATTTCACAAGGCCCCCGTAGATTAGGCAACAACTTCCATAGTGCTCTGAGCACTTTGTGCGCTTTCTCCTCAATGTATGCGAAATGAAATTTGAATGTTAAGCCTCTATCAAACATGACCCCAAGATACTTGAGTCGGTCCATGACTTCGATGCCCTCTCCTTCTATTAACACCTCGATATCTGGCATTCGTCCTCTTCCACCGAACAGTACGGCTTCTGTCTTTTCTGGTGCTATTTGCAATCCCAGTCTCCCTATTCTATTTGTGATAGCTGCAGAGCCTAGTCCACCAATCATGGCTGCCGCTCTAAGACTATGAGCTCGTGCAAGAATTATTGTGTCATCCGCATAGCATATCACTTTGCATTCCTGTCGGATACTCGCCTGTAAAACGTAATCATACGTAATATCCCAGAGCAAGGGGCCCGAAACTGATCCTTGAGGCACCCCCGCCCACACTTGCCTAGTTCTGACTTCGCCGTCTGAGTTCTTGTAACATATGAATCTATCAGCTAGATAGTCCCTAAGTACTTCAATTAAATAGCCAGGTAAACCTTTAGCCTGAACTTGCTCGATGATTTTTGACCATGGTAATGAAACAAATGCGTTCCTTATGTCTAAACTAATAGCTACTACGTACTCCTTGTTGTCAAGTGCCGCCTTCACGTATGTTTTAAGTTCGCACATAGCATCAATCGTAGAGCGGCCCACTCTAAATCCATATTGCATTGTTGCTAGTCCTTCGTTAGGTAGTTCTTGCAAATTTCTTGCATTTTTTTATTCTATCTGCAATTATCCTTTCAAAGGCCTTCCCTAGGTCATTGATGAGGCATATTGGCCTGTATTTTGGTGGCCCTCCGCTCTTAGTTGGCTTGGGTAGGAGTACTAAGTCAGCTTTCTTTCACTCTATAGGAAATTTACCTTCCCGCAAGCATCTAGTAAATATATAGGCTACTAGGTCCAAGCTTTCCGACGTACCTTGTCTCCAGAACAGACCTTTGATTCCGTCCGGGCCCGGAGCTGTATCTCGTGATTTGGGACTTTTCAACGCTTTTTTGACATCAGATATGCCAACCCCCCACTCTTCATTCCATTCCACTTCAGGATTTGCGTGTCCCGGGGTGTTGGGGAGCATGAAATTTTCCGGAAATAGCTCCTCAATAATCCGCTCCAGCTCTTCAACAGGGATACTTTCTGTTGTTGGGATAGTATTTTTTTTCATCCGTCCTAAAATTACCTTATAGGGTCTACCCCAAGGATCCCTATTTAAATATTCAAGGAATTCTTTCCAGGCTTCCTTTTTTGCCTTACGAATTGTATATCGGAATTCATTCCTCGCCTTCTTGTATTCAATTGAAGCTTCGAGTATTTTTTCCTTGTCACGGCTACGCTCTTTCATACGTGTGTACCGTCTCCTAGCCCCAATACATATGCGCCGTAACTCCTCCATGTTCGGTCTCCACCAGTATGTGCCCTTGACACCATGTCTTTTCCCAACTCTGGGGGCAGCTATATCGCACGCATTCATTGCCATTTTAGTTAAACTAGTAACCGCCTCCATTATTGGAGTGTTGGCATCTATCTTATAATTCCACAGCGCTATTGTCAGGGCCGCTTGGAATTTATCCGCGTTGAATTTATGTTTAGTCCACCTAGGGGACCTCGCCCCCCCCCCCTCGCAGATCCTCACTCCAGTTGGTCGTCGCGGGAATATCTGGAAGGAGATATATGTATGATCGGAGAGAGTCTCTACCTCCTCTCCATGAACCTTCAACCCCTTAACTCGCTCCAGCATATTAGGTGACACCCATGTTAGATCCACTATCGATGTACCTTGCGGACGAATACACGTTGGAACACTGCCATCACTAATGAGCCGCATATCTAAAGTAGACATGGTCTCCCACAAGTATTTACCGAAATTTAAATCCGTGCGACATCCCCACAGGCGCATACGAGCATTGAAGTCACCAGCCAATATTATAGATTCATTCCGTTGTAATCTGACAAAGTCCGCGATTTCTTCCATTGCTCTACAATAGTCTTCAGCAGTGAGGTTAGGTGACAGATATACTGATATTATCGTTATGTTATTGCACTTAACCGCAACGAAGCCTTTGCCCCGGTGTAGAACCACGTACGGATATGCAGTATTCTGCGTCCAAGTAATGACAGCCAAGCCTGTGCGATCGCTTATCCAGTACGTTGACGCCGGAATATAATTAGGCTCCGACACAATGCCAAGCGCGATTTCATGGGAGAACATAAAGTGTACCAGTAGATCTTGTGCTGGTCCGCTTCTGTTAACATTTGCTTGAATACATCTAAGCATTATCAGTGCTATGATCCGGCCTCCGATCCGGTGTATTCTTTCCTTTAGGGTTAATCTCTTCACATCTTAGGCTTCCCATTCTGTGGGTATAGCTCCTCCCTTTCTCTTTACACAATGTACAACTCGCAGGCTTACTGCATTGACGCGCCGTATGACCTTTGTCACCACATTTGTAGCACGTGCCGGTTCTATCCGTACTGCTTTTACAGTTGAATCTAATGTGTCCATATTCTCAACATTTGTAGCACTGCTGTGGCCTCTCCTTCAAAATTTCAATTTTAGCCATAGTCCAGCCTATTCGTACTTTGTTCATGTTCGCTACTTTGAGAACTGCAGCTATGGGCATTTCCGCCCATGTAATACCGAGCCCAGATCTCATTGGTCTAATGGGGCTCACTTTTATCTCGTTAAACTCGCAGTCTCCGTGTTGAACTAGTATCTCCTTTATTTCTTCAACCGTTACCGAGTCATCTAATCCTATAATTTTAATCTCACCTTTTCTGACTGGCTGTGTGATGATAGCCTCGTCTTTGAGAACCTCTTTTAGCTGTGTAGCAAGGTGATCAGCTTTCTCCTTACTCTGCTCGCCTGATATCTCAATAAGCAGACCTCCATTACGAGCTCGACGGATTTTGGGGGCTTCAATGCCTAAGGTGCCCAGGTTTATATTTTTTCGAGCTTTCTTAAGAGCAGCCGCATACGAAAATTCTTCTTTCCCACCGGTGATGGTGACCGCCGCAGTG